ATTTCTGGCTGTGAATACAATATTTTTGTACTTTTGGTGAACAAATATGTCATGCTCCTTATAATAAGTTATGGTTTTTTTACTTCGTTTGTTTGTACAATGAACCCAGTGCTTATTTCCTTTTCTTTTTTTTTTTGGGATAATCTTGCATTGCATGGAGTGAATGCATATGGAAGTGTTGATTTGATGTTAATTTGTGTTTAATTTGTGTTTTTTGTTATAGGTCCAAAGTTTTGGGTTTCAATATGTTTGGTGGAATAAAGAATATGTCATGTGACCTTACTCCTTAGGCTTGAGAGGCCCTTGACTTCATCTCTAATATAATTGTCCAAGTCAAACTCAACTTTCATGTGGTTATGGTAAAACACATCAATGTGGGTGAGTGGCATTATTGACACTTGCGAGTTGAATATATTTTGTTGTGAATTATGATGCGAATTAGTTTCCATACTAACATGAATCGAAATTTAAGTTATGAAAAATTTCATTATTGATCAACTGAGTTTCGAGTAGTGTTTTTTGTTGAAGTGTAATTTTAGGTTTTCCTAAATGTTGAATTAATTTGAATAGACATATAATTCATGAGATGCCTTTTTTATTAGTTAGAATGCCAGATACCTGAATGATATATGGGTTGATTTAATAAGTGGTGTTTATAATTGGTGAAGTGAAATACTGGTTAATTTACGGGAGTTGCATTTAGTTTTATGTTATAGGCTAGAGTGTTGATATCACCAATGGGTGTCAGCATGTGGTGTAGGTTGGATTGTTTCAGTTATGGGTGAAGGTGCAAAGTTTTTGTTATGGTTGAAAGGGCTATGGTGTTTATGGTTTGTAATTTTAGAAAGTGAAGGGTTAAAAATGAGTTTCTTTGGTATATAGTTGGTTATTAAACAATCTCCTCTCTCTCTCTCTCTCTCATGCACACACACACACACACACACATGTCTTCGGTCATGGTTGGGTTGCACCTGACAAGTGATTAAAATGATTGGTTTGATTACCACTGTGGTAACAAGATTATGTGTAAAATCTTTCAAATTTTTCCTAAATTCCTTACTCCCATATTGATTAATTGTGAATATGTGCTCCTCATTCTTTGTGTGGTTAATTTGTTCACATTGTGTATGCAAGAGTTTTTTTTTCTTTTTTAATGGATGGAGAACTCAAGCTTTTTCTTTCTCTTCATAGGTTCCAAGTGTCCCAACTAACTATTTTCTCTTTGCTAAATATTTTATCACATAAGAATGATTTATTTTCATAGATTCTAGATCTTAAACTAACAATAGAGAATTATATTTGTTTGNACAAACTATTTTCTCTTTGCTAAATATTTTATCACATAAGAATTATTTATTTTCATAGATTCTAGATCTTAAACTAACAATAGAGAATTATATTTGTTTGTCACATAAGGAGGGTATTTATCTAACTTTTTTAAAACTTGCTTAAACTATGTGATACTTTCTCTTTCTTTGAAATTGTGTTACCTATTTTGTGTTTAGTAGTTTAAGTGGATTGGAGGCTTAGATGACTCCTTGAATAATGAATGATGACATCTATAGTCTTTTAGAATTTTGAGCCTGATTTGTAGGATTAGTACTTTAGTGCTTTGGATTTAATTCTTTAGTTGAAGAATAATTTCCTAAAATAATAAAGTTGCAATATTATTACTTTTGGTGTTCTAGAATCCTATGAACATTACTTTTATTTTCACCTATCCCTTTTTAAGTCTACTGTGAGTTTTTTCAATTGCTTTGATTTTATTGAATTATAATCTTTTTATTTTTTCATTTTTGATTTAGTGGTTGCTATGACAGAATTAACTAGATCAACAAAGAATAGAAAAACTGGTAACTTTGTTATTGATTATTGTTGAATCTATAATATAAAATAGAGCAGACTTCAATAAGTTCATTCGATGGTTTCAAATAGATTAATCCAACAGGCACAAACATCACTTTTAAAATTATTCACATTACACTGTGCCTTCAGGCACGGGTTATGCCTAGTACATATATATTGTAATGGTTATGATTTTGAAAGTTAGCACTATAAGTATCATATTAGTTTGAGAATGAGGGTGCATTTTATTGTGCATAATCGTAGCTCGGTGGCAATGAAAGGTGTTGGATATTGATTAAGTGCAAAGTATAAGCATTGAGATTATAATTTCAAATAGTCTTCGTACAACGTATGTGTGCAATAACTAGTACAAGAAAAATATGCATAAAGATGCACCAAAACAACGATAAACAAAACAAAACAATTATCATAAATCTTAAAATTGAATGTCAAATTTGACANCGTATGTGTGCAATAACTAGTACAAGAAAAATATGCATAAAGATGCACCAAAACAAGGATAAACAAAACAAAACAATTATCATAAATCTTAAAATTGAATGTCAAATTTGACATCAAAACTCTTTTTGAATTTTTATATTTCTTTTGTTTTTGGTTTTTCAAATTTCAAATATTTTTGTATTTAAAAATATAAACAAACAAAAATATATACACATATGCGTGACCCTATGGTGTTCGACGAAATGCATGAAAGATTACCTAAGTCCATATACTCACCCCTCCTACTTCTTAGGAACCATGACATTGCAAGAAACACTCGGAGCCTCTAACTTGGTTGAGATGGTGAGTTTCTCAAAGTTCTCCTTGATCACCCATGCTTTTTTTCCCTTCCTAAAACTCAAGTTAGGTCGGAGAATGGGTGAATCACTAACTCTCTTCTTACCAGTTGTGTGTAGATCAATTTTGACCTGGGAGGTAGAAGGAGCCTAGCATGATGTCCAAAAAATGATGCATGAATATTCTTGGGCTCATATGACCTCTCTAAAAGCTTAGAAAAATTTACTACTTGATTGTTCAAAGCTTTTGATAGGTGTGTTANTTGTGCACTCTAGCATGATGTCCAAAAAATGATGCATGAATATTCTTGGGCTCATATGACCTCTCTAAAAGCTTAGAAAAATTTACTACTTGATTGTTCAAAGCTTTTGATAGGTGTGCTAGATGCATGTTCTTTTTGTCTAAAACTTCTCTATTGTAAATGCAATGTGCACTACAGTGACCATGTTGACCACAAGCAAAACACACAAATGACTTAGTTTGGATTTTCTTTTTAATTGGCTTCTTTTCATGCTTATCGTTACCATGAGTAGGATCTTTAGGACTTGTGCTTACTTGTGGAGGTGTAGGGTTGGGATCACCTTTTATAAACACGATCTTGGAAGAAGTAGAGGTGTTGAGTTCATAAGTGAAACTTAATCCTCTTTTTTCACCAACATTTTTCCCTATAGCCAACATTTTATCAAGTTTTTCGATGATTTGGGAAAGTATTTTTGAGAGCTCTTGTTATTCATGAAGGTCTCTATCAAGTTTCATAAGTTTAAACTCAAGGATCTTCTTAGACTCTAAAAATTTTTTATGCTATCATTCAAAGAAGCTCTCCTTGTTATGGAGGAACTTCTTCTCCTCCTCAAGCCCAACAACAAGAGCCTTGAACTTAACTAAGTCCACATGAAGTGCTTTTTTTTCATCTTCACTTGTTTTAAGCCTCGTGTTCATTGAAAGAAACTTCTCACCTTATTTTAGACACTCCTTGTATAGTTCATTATAAGCATCTTGGAGGTCCTCAAAAATTTCAGTCCTATCCTCACTGATATAGACTTCTACAACTAATTCATCTACATCGTAATGGGACTAGACTCAAATTCCTTTTCCACATTCTTGGAAGTTTCTCATGAGGGCAGGCCGTGAAGTTTTCTTCATCATTTGACGAAGAGGAGTTAACACTTGTCGTGGACTCACTTTCGCTTTCACTCACTTTCACCTTTAAGGCTATTCTCTTCTCCNGGGGGCAGGAGGAAGGGGAGGGGGAGGAGTGAGAAGCTACAAAGGCCGTGAAGTTTTCTTCATCATTTGACGAAGAGGAGTTAACATCGTGGACTCACTTTCGCTTTCACTCACTTTCACCTTTAAGGCTATTCTCTTCTCCATGGGTATGTTCTTCTTCTTAGCACTAGGACATTCTGCAACTATGTGTCCAAACCCATGACAATCGTAGCATTGGAGACCTTACCCCTTCTTCTCAACCTCATGTCGAGAAGATCTACCCCCACTTTCTTTTCCCTTTCCAGGAGATCTAGGTCTACTTGGATTTCCTTTCGACCCTGAGGACTTGACACCATTAGCCTGAAAAATTGAAAAGATAAGGGAAGGAAAACACCTAAATAACAACTTCTAACTAAAATAACTAACTGCAAAACAAAAAATAAAAATTAGCATAACATAAAAATAAAATAAATATAGAAATAAAAACGAAAACTACTATGTGCAAAAAGTTTTTGTTTTTAAAAGGGATCATCCGAGCTTCCACTGCCCATTGCCAGTTGCCCGAATCTCATCGGGACTTGGCTCCTGCATTGAACTTTTTCTTTCTTGTCTTTCTCTCTACTCCACCAAAAGGCTACTTAGAAAAGGCCCCAACCGATTCTTTCCAAACAGAGTTCTCACTGAATTAAAACACTGATAAACAGATAGGAAGCAAATCCCGACCTACCGGTAGCAAAGTTATTGTTCCTCATGTACTGGTAGCTCTTCACAACTACTGGTGGAACTGCTCTCTATTTTCAACCTACTAGTAAAAAATTTTATGTGTTACTTCTACCAGTAGGTATTCATTGTTATTGGTAGAATCTCAATCTTTCACCAAATGAACTGGTAGGAAACCTACAGGTAGAACCAGTCTTTTTCCCAATTATTGTTGCAATGTTTCTAGCTCAACTCCAAACTCCTCTAACAAGGCTAAGATAAATGATATGGGACATAAAATATGTAATATTATACTATCATCACACTCTCCAAAAGACCTCTTTTGGTTCCTCGCCTGTGGGGATCACCACCCCCTCTTTTCATGAATTTCTATTTTCTTTTATTTACTTCTTTCCTTGATGGCTCTATCCTAATGTGTTTATTTCGTACAGGCAAATATATTCTTCTTCCTACTGAACTCAAACTCCAAGTTGAGGGAGCCTTGGTTTACTGTACCAAGAGCTTGCCTAACCTAGTCACCGATCAAGCCTTGTTTGAGTGCCAGCTAGGTCCTGCCCCCAAAGCTCCTGTTGTGACCTTTACACCTAGTCCTTTCCCCCCAAGTGGTAAGTNGGGAGCCTTGGTTTACTGTACCAAGAGCTTGCCTAACCTAGTCACCGATCAAGCCTTGTTTGAGTGCCAGCTAGGTCCTGGCCCCAAAGCTCCTGTTGTGACCTTTACACCTAGTCCTTTCCCCCCAAGTGGTAAGTTTCGATTTTGTTCTTTATCTTTTTTTTTTTTTTAAATTTAGTTCTAACTTTCATATTCCTGCAGGTATGGCTACCAAGGTTGACAAAAAACTGTTAAAGGAGATTAAAGCAACTAAAGACCTAGGAAGTGGTTCCCCTCGCCATAAAAAGCCAAGGCTAGCTTCTGCTAAGACGATGACACCGGCCTCCATCCCTCCAGGTGCAGAGTGGAAGGCCCCTAAAGAGTCTAGGTCTTCAATGTGGGAGAATGGAAAGGAGGTCAGGGCTCATCTCCATAGATTTGTTGATTAGCGAAGTTCAGGCTATCTTCAGACAANCTGGCCTCCATCCCTCCAGGTGCAGAGTGAAAGGCCCCTAAAGAGTCTAGGTCTTCAATGTGGGAGAATGGAAAGGAGGCCAGGGCTCATCTCCATAGATTTGTTGATTAGCGAAGTTCAGGCTATCTTCAGACAAGGGCCCGACTGGGCTATGGCTCCCCTCTAGTAAACTATTGGGAAGGTGAAGCTTGTTACAGTCCATTCTTCTTTCCTTTTTATTTTTTGCATAGCCTCCCCACATGAGTAGTTTGCTGAATGAGTCTTAATTTCTTAACTCAAATTTTATTTTTTGTCCGTTGCAATTCAAAATTCGCACTAGTTCGGATTTGAATTTTTCTACACTATGGATTTGAATTTTGTATCTGTTCATGAATGGCTAGACATAAATGATATCTGCTTCTAGATTCACTTTATATTTATGTTCAGCAATTGGGTTAGTTTTATGTGTTATAGTTTTTATTCTTAATTGCATGGTATAAATAAAAAATTCCAACATAATTTAGAAATCCTCCAACACTAAAAACCCATGTGTACGTGATGATCCCCACACAATAAACAAATTGACATATCTTTCCCATGATGAATTCGAGTTTACCTGAAAAGTCGGAGGTTCCGCCGCAAATTGGGAGTTAAGAAGTCATAATGAGTGGTAATGAAACTCTCTACGAACGATCCATACACCCGTGGGTTATCGAACTGGGTCCTTTCACTAAACAAAATGTAATAAGGGCGCCAGATTTTTTTCTGGCATGATCCCCTTCGACGATCAAGTTTGTATCTTAGAGAGGGTTGGAAATACACTGTTCAATTACTTGGNTGGGTCCTTTCACTAAACAAAATGTAATAAGGGCGCCAGATTTTTTTCTGGCATGATCCCCTCCGACGATCAAGTTTGTATCTTAGAGAGGGTTGGAAATACACTGTTCAATTACTTGGGTGAGATTTTGTGTACCTTAGACTTGGGTTTGTGAGAGCTATTTATACCTCTCTAGAGTCAATCATTGCGGACAACTGGGTCCCCCCGAGGTAAGACTCATCATTGCCTCATTTGGAAGGCAAAATGTGGTGCTCAATCCTTTAGCAAAGTGCCCTCCTTTTCACGTGACAAAAGTTTCTGCATTTAATGCTCGGACCTCTGGGCATTTAATGTTTGCCTTCTTGACCTTCCCAAGCAATAAATGTGCCCTCATTTTATGTTCACTCATTGTGGCTGCGCAGGCACAAGGGTACTTTCGTCCATTACCCCCCAAGGGGCTGACATTTTAGAGCTTTATACTTCGTACACCCCCATCATTGGCTAGTAGACTGCCTTTCCTGCCACCCTAACCGCCTTGGAAAGGGTGATTGATGATTGATGCCCAACTCTGCTTCTAAGTCATGACAACCATCAAAATCACTATTCATATTTTGTTGATATGGGAGACTTAACGCCAAGGCAACATGTCAGATGGAGAGTCCCTCGGGGTGGACCAATGCCGAGGACACGTGTTGAATGGCTGGAGCTCTGGAGTGACATAGGTGCAGAGGACACGTGTTAACGTTCAATGCCTCGGGGGTCATGAATGTCGAGGACACATGTCAATCTAAGAGGACTCCGAGGACATATATGTCAAGAACACGTGTCACTCCGTGGTGGACCCTGAACTGTCACACCGAGGACACGTATCAATCTAAGAGGACTTTGAGGATTTGTATGCCGAGGACACGTGTCATCTCCCCATCGATCTCCAATTATGTGCCATCACCAAGCAATTAAAGATTCAAATATTATTAAGCTCTCATAATATAACAACATACAACTTTTCATGTAGATTGCTCAAACATAGACAAAGCAGGATTCACAATGGTGAAGCCTCCATCAACTAAAAGATTATGCCCACTCACATACTTGGAATCATCACTTCCCAAGAAAAGAGCTGCTTGGGCCACATCTTCTGCTTCAAGAACTGCACCTTTGAGGTTAGAATAAGCACTAGAGACTCCTTCATCATTGAGCTTGAAGAAATCCTTTGTCATTGGGGTTGCAACGAGGTATGGTGACACACAGTTCACACGAATGCCATACCGTCCGAGCTCTACGGCTGTGTTCCTCGTAAGCCCCACAACACCATGCTTTGAACTTGTGTATGCGTGAGATGCAACTCCGCCATTTGTGGAAGAAACGCTAGCCGTTGTAATTATACTACCACGGCAATTGGGGATCATCACTCTAGCAGCATGTTTGGTTCCCAGAAAAGCACCTACCAAATTTGTGCTTATCACTTGCTCAAACTCGGATTTTTCGTTGTCCAGGATGTTGGGTTTGAGCGTGCCTACCACACCGGCATTGTTGAACATGATGTCGAGCTTTCCATATTTGCCAATGGCACTGTTAACTGCATTTTCAACGTCAGTTTCATTGGTTACATCACAATGTACAAAGGAGGCAGATGCTACACCCAAATCTTTGCAAATTGAGTGAGCCAAGTTATCTTGAATATCAGCAATTATCACTTTAGCTCCATGTTTGGAGAAGAGTCTGACGGTGGACTCGCCGATGCCACTTGCTCCACCAGTGATCAGTGCCACCTTGCCTTCCAACCTATAGAGTGAAAATCATGGGTGGTATTTATGTATGTGTGGAACGGTTAGCAAGCCTTTCTGATGCACAAAAATTTTACTAAAAAGTAATGTCTTCATGAACCAATGGCAATGGCAAATTTCGAAGTTGCTAGAGCAGTCTAATACAGAATTTGAAAGGTGCCAATTGCTATAGCCATAAGTTGAGATGAATCTGAATATAAACGACTATAAATTGGGTTTTTATATAGATGAACAAATTTTAGATGATACGATTTAAAAGGTGTCACGATTCATTGCGAATTCTTCTCAGTTCAAGCCCTTGCAACATAGTCGTCTTTTGAAGTGAAAACGAAAAAAACAAAATCAAATAGTCAAGGATGAAGAAACACACGCCACAACAATTTTTTAACAACAAATACGTAAAGTTACAATATGATGTGGATATTTTTTTATAAAAACAACTAAATAAAGTTTCCTACGCAATTTGCGTGTGTGTGTTTGTACTTACTATGGTTGGTTCCTTCGGCTTTTGTGAATGGGGAGGCGAAGGGCAGGTGCTAGGGGCCTGGGCCTGGGTACTGGGCAAAGGGGCTGCGGAAGGGGAAGGTGTTTACCCCACCAAAAAAAAAGGTGGAAAAATAACGTTTTTAATTCCTACAAGCAGTACAACTTTCTTATCCAACTTAATATATTTACTTCCTACAATTTATTATAATTTATCCAAATTCATAGTTCATAATTCATCTCAAAGCTATTATAATTAGATGGACTATTGTTTGATTAAAAATCAAAATTACAGTAAATTGCATTTCTTAATGTTGATAAAATGTTTTGACCAATTTTAATTCTTATTGAATAAACTAATTATTAAATTGGGAAGAAATTATTGTGTGTAGAATTGAAGTGATGACTAATGACTTGAATATAATTTTTTTAAATATTAAATTGAGGGGCATTTTTTAAAATATAATTTTTTTTTCTTGTCCTTTCCAATGGCATCATAGGGAAAGGATTTGTCTGCTACAACTCTTAAATATCAAGAAATAATAGTTTCATTTTTAGAATGCAAGTGTCTTCCATATCATTTGACCAAAGGTTATGGAATCCATGAGAAATTTACTCAATCAATTGCACAGTTGTGAATAAGGGTGTTCATGGGCCGGGTTATCCCACGGGTCCGATTACTCGGTCCAAAAAAAATAGGCCCGAAACCCGATAGGCCCGATAGTTGGCCCGCCCGAGCCCAATATCTTTAAAAAGAGGGCATGAGTTTGCCCCCAAACACATTATCCGGCTCAAGAGCCCGCCCGTCAAGCCTGCCCGCAAGTCCAGCCCAACCTACCATTCCTTTGAAAAAAAGTTATACTTTTATACTATTAAATTTAAAATTTTGAAATAAGTCTCTCAATATCGAAATTTAAAGTTTTAAAAATTTAGATATTATAAATAATGTATTATTTTTTTCCATGTATTAAGCATATAAGTTTTAAATGGTAGAGTAATACGAATGACAAATAAGTTAATAGGTGTCAACCTAGTTGAGATTTATTCATTCTATTAGATGTAGTTCATTATTTTATTCTTATCCATTTTGATTTTACTTTTGATTCAAAAATATAATTTACACAAATATTAAGTTACAAAAATATTTATTATTTTTAAATAAAGATGTATATAAAAAATCCCGCAAATAGGCCCTCCCAATAGACTCACGGGTTGGGCTGTGGGTAGCCTATCCCTACCCGAAGTCCGGTCCGCCCCGCCCGATAACTCACTTGGGTAATGGGTTGGACTTACATTACTCAGGCTCGGCCTGAAAAAAATTTCACGGGTATAGCCCGCCCATGGACACACCCCTAGTTGTGAATTGAATTCATATATTCCATTATCAATAATTGATATAAAACTTTTTAAATTGAGTTGACTATGAAGTTTTCTACTCCTCTAAAGTTGTGCTACTACTTTATTTATCATTGCATCACATTATTCTATGTTTTTGTGTAAGCAAAATTATAATAAAAAATTTGATATTGGTAATATTAGGCCAACACAGACTATAAATCAAGATTAAAATAAAGCGAAACAATTGATACAATATTGACATAATGAGCAAAATTTGAATGTTAAGTAAATGTATAATTAAAAGCACCATTGTATTAGTATCACATCCTTTAATCCTTTTTTTTTTTTTTTCCCTATTTTTAGCCATGCTTGCATGATTTAATTCGAGAAAATCCATAAAATAAGCAAAAACGAAAATTATTCAAATGGCTATAGCCAACACTTAGCAATGCAAAATAGGCAACTCAACATAGTCTAACCAAAAATATCATGTTCTTGGGCAGAGACCTTCGGTACTCAAATTAAGTTTGAGCAAAAATTATTAGGAAATTTTTTTTTTTAAGAAATATTTCAACATGATTTAAATTCGTATAATACTTGTATATGAAGATCTCATGTTAAATAAAATTTGAATTGAATGTGTTATCACATCTCACCTTTATCCCCATGGATTTTAAGTTGGCAGAAGCCGAGAATGGACAGATGAGTATGTACCTTCTAATTGTATTTGAGAGTGCTGAGACACTTGCCATGGTTGACTAATTTGTGAACTCAGGAACACTGATCATCCAACTGATATGAACCTTCTTTTATAGGCAGCATCCCCCTCTCCTCCTCTTTTTTTAATCCCCTGTTGGCCTGTAGGCATCAGGGTTAGTAAAAAGTCATACTCAAGAGAAATAATAATCTTGCTTATTACCTGCCCCAGCAGACACTACAAGAAAATCTTTAAGAAAAATTGCACTCACAAACAAATTAAACAAAAGTTAAAACAATCAAAAGGATATGAGCAATGGACATATTATACTGGGACATAATTTGAGCAAGGAAAATGTTTTTTTTTAATTTATTATTATTATAATTACAATGATTAGATAGTAAATTCGAATTGGTGACATCCACTCCCTCAATGTGGGTTTAACCATTTCAAATAGACCTGTAAATGTAAAGAAAATGTTATTTGAACATAAATTTGGAAATTTTATGATAACAACCAATGGATTGTCAGTAAACCTCAGAATTGAATGCACTTCACTATCAGTCTAATGGTGACAATACATTAGTGTCCTAAATTATATATCAATAGCATCATTGATTATATTATGGTTTAGGCATAGAGGGATTTGGAGGCCAGTCCGTAGGCCAAATAAAATTCCAAAAAAAAATTCACTCTTCAATTTTCTTTTAGATTAGGTCCTTGTTGAAAAGTCAAAGTAATGGACATAAATAAAACCCTTTCCAATTGTAGAAAATAACGACAATTTAATCACCTAATTTAAACACCTATGCTAATAAGTTACGTACATTTTTTCTCCACAAACACAAATCGTAAGACATGTATACTAAAAAAATTAAANTTTTAATTTATTATTATTATAATTACAATGATTAGATAGTAAATTTGAATTGGTGACATCCACTCCCTCAATGTGGGTTTAACCATTTCAAATAGACCTGTAAGTGTAAAGAAAATGTTATTTGAACATAAATTTGGAAATTTTATGATAACAGCCAATGGATTGTCAATAAACCTCAGAATTGAATGCACTTCACTATCAGTCTAATGGTGACAATACATTAGTATCCTAAATTATATATCAATAGCATCATTGATTATATTATGGTTTAGGCATAGAGGGATTTGGAGGCCAGTCCGTAGGCCAAATAAAATTCCAAAAAAAAATTCACTCTTCAATTTTCTTTTAGATTAGGTCCTTGTTGAAAAGTCAAAGTAATGGACATAAATAAAACCCTTTCCAATTGTAGAAAATAACGACAATTTAATCACCTAATTTAAACACCTATGCTAATAAGTTACGTACATTTTTTCTCCACAAACACAAATCGTAAGACATGTATACTAAAAAAATTAAAAAAAAAATAACAGGAACACAATTAAAAAATACAAAAAAAAAAAAAAAGGTACGCAGTAAAACAATAACAAGGTACACAATAAAAAAATAAAAAATAATAGATACGCAATAAAAAATAGAAAAAATATCAGGTACGCAATAAAAAATAACAAGTAGGATATAAAAAATAAAAAAATAATAGGTACACAATAAAAAATAACATGTAAACAATAAAAAATAATAGATATGCAATAAAAAATAAAAATAACAAGCACGCAATAAAAAAATAAAAAATAATAGGTACGCAATAAAAAAAATAAAAAATAACAAGTACGCAAAATATACTCAAGTTGGCAAGTCCAATTTACTCATTCCGTTCCTAAATATCTGTTGTTTTACATATTTTTTTTTGTTCCATAATATCTGTCGTTTAATAAAATAAAAGCATAATTAATATTTTTTCTTTCAAATTTACTCTTAACTTCTCAATGCATTGGATTAGGTGGAGGCTAAGTGCCTTTTATATTCCTTTATTTTCCAATACGTATTGAATAAGGGTATTTTAGTCTTGTGTAATTATTTTTTACTCATATTAGAGCTATTTAATAGATTCCTTAATCTCTGTGCAAAAACATTAAACGATAGATATTTAGGAACGGAGGGAGTATAAGAAATCCACAGATCAAAAATAAGAGGAGCGTAGAGCAAAATCAGAAGAAAAAACCTAGAAAAACAACTGCTCAACTCATCATTTTTTTGCAAAATCAAACCAAACAGAGTGGAAGGAAGATAGATGATTTCTAATCAAATCGATCTTCCTCATCATCGTCGAAGGAGTTGATGACTTCCCATGAAAGATAAGTCACCGACATCAACTTATATGGCTTCATAAGCAACGAACAGATTTCCAATTTGATCCAATTCACCTTCAACTTGAAAACTCGTGCAATCACTGAACGGAAATAGATCGAGTGACCGTAGAGGTTGTTGCGAGAGAAAGAAATGGAGATCTGCGTGTTTGTGATAACCCTAAATTCGGGGGTCTTTTCTCAACTTGTTGATCCTCCATCAACTCGCGGAAATACCCACGAATGACACATAACTCGGCACCAAGGCAATAACATCCCCTTCACCGAGATCATGAACAACATAGTGTTTGGGCAAAGTCTCCCTTGTACCGAGCACTCCTAAACCCATAACTTATGTACATTTCTATCACATGATCATTCCAAGGTCCAATATACATCAATTGACACTTGATTTTACTTCATTTACATCCTTGA